TTGTTTTCTGCGTACCGTTGCGAGACAAACTCGCGGGCCACCTTGGCAACGTAGCCAAGCATGCCCCCCACCGCGACTTCGTCTACCGTCGGCGAAGTTGGWGGTGCATGRAAGGMAAGATAYTCGTGTAAGAGGGCGCATAGGGCTGCGCTTTGCGGCCCCGGAAGGTTGCCCGTCGTAGGGAGAGGAATCCAAGCGAAGTCCTCGGGCGTGAGCGGGTCCAAAGCCTCCTCGTTGAACACGCTTGCCGAATCCATTGATGAAGACGAACTGGCGGAGAAACCTTCGGACGGTGAGAAAGCTGCACATGTATCTTGTCCTTGAGTAGCATCCAGTGAAGGAACGAGCCGGGTAGCGAAGTCTTCGAACGAAAGTTGAAGACTCCCGACATCCGCATATGCCTCGGAAGAAAGGGCGGTCGTGGCCACAACCGCTTCCGATGGCGTCGAGGGAGGTGTCAAGTATCCCTCGGCGGCGCCTACTTTCCCTGACGGGGTTTCCCCTTGGTGGTGCAATGTGCAGTATCGTGGATGGTGCTGTTGCACCAAAGGCAATACCGGTACTTGAGTCGCATGCGGTAAGAGTTCGCCGAGAGTCCGTATTGTACCCAAGGTTCGTCGGCGGCTGATCCGGTGCTCGGTGTCGAGGTGGATTGAGTCTTCGTCTTATCGCGGCCGTGGTTGTTGCGCGGCCGGCCACCATCCCGGGCAGCTGCCAACACTTCACCCTCGTTTGGTGTTGCAGCCTCGGAAGAAATAATGCAAGCCACCTTTGGCTTGAGCTGGGTGCCGCTCGTCGTCGCGGAAGATCGGCTTGCGCTGCGGGCTTCGATGTTTGTCAGAATGATCCGTGACGCTGTGCTAAAAAGCTTGTTGGATGTGTCGAGTGTCTCTGCAATCTGCGTAAGCGCGTTTTGCAGAGACGGACACGAGCGCATGATAAACAAGTGCTTGATGGCGCGGAATGCGAGCGGCAGGTTAGGTGTGGAGGCGAGTCTTTGAAACTCGGTGATCCAGTCCTGACTGAGCAGCGTGTTTTGATGGAGCTTGTTGAGCTTGTCCATCGCTTGCAGGTCGGGCGGCTCCACTTGGAATCGCTTGTGCCAGGCGTCAGTCAACTCCTGCCAAGTGAGCTTGGTGTGTAGTTCCGACACTGCTACGCTGTGGCTGGTCAAGATGTTGTCCAGCCATGCTTGACACGCACCACCCGATCGGTGGTACAAGCACGGATGTCGATCGTTGTTCGGGACATGGTGCATGTCGAGCCGGAGAGTAAACTGGCGCCACCACGGGATCGGTTCCGTCTTGGAYTGATCGCAGAAGACTGGAATGTCATCTAGCTTGGGTGGGCGCCTGGAGGATGCGGCGGCGGGCATCACGGTGGCAGCCGCCTGGACCTGCGTCTCCAACTGCAAGTTCGTTGCTTGCT